CAGAGTGCTCAAGGTCGCCCAAGTCATGAAGTATGAAGCAGATGTCACAAATTCATCTGGGCCACTGGTTGGCTTTTATGTTTGTTTTTACTGTATGAAAACTACATAGCTGAGGCTGGCCTTGAATTCCCTAATCCCTCTGCCTCTACCTCCCGAGGGCTGGGCTCATGGGCACACACCGCCACGAGCAGCTCAATCTGTCTGCAGCTGGGACAAGATCAGATAGGCCTGTGAACAGCTGCCCTGGATGATCCGCCTGGCTCTCTGGACTTCATGGAGACATCAGTATGCTTACAAAGGCGCTAGGCTGTGTTCTCGGCCCCTCCTGGGGTCAGTGGCCCTCTGCTGCTAGCCTCCAAACTCAACACACTCCTTGCTTGGCCCACAGACACTGTGGTTTTCGTCTTGCCCACACCTTACCCGCACCCGAGCCACAGCGTATCTGTGCTCTTTACCCCTCAGTGCTTTCTGTTCTAGCCTGGGCACACCTGCATCTGGACTGCCTGGATCCTCAGGGCCACTGTGGAGCAGCCATTTCCGAAGCATGGAGAAGGCCTGCATGTTCAGCCACTGGTCCTCTGTGAAGTGCTGGCCCGTGGAGAGGACTGTGAAGAAGTCAGAAGCCACTGCTCCATCTACCTCTGTGATGGGACCTGGCTGTGGGAGGAAGGACAGGGCTGGGGAGAAGCCTGGTGGGCTCATAAAGCACTCAGGAGTATAGAAACCATGTACAGGAGGCTGTGAGCTCCACCATGGCCCAGGGACCTGCATTTCCTGTCCTCTCCGGCTACAGCCTTGTAGAAAGCATCCACACTCCTAGATCCAGGCATGCCTGCCCCAAGACCTAAACACACGGACGGCTCCAGCTCAGATGTGTGTCTTGCGCCCTCTGTAGGCACTGAGCAGGGGCTATGCAGGCTGAGGAAATGTCAGGCTCCAAGTGCACTCCCCCATCCTGGACTTTCCCCACTCCACGGTAGAGAGCAATGAGAAACCTTACTGGAACCAAGGGGAAGGACAAGCAGCGTTCATAGGAACCTGTCTGTTGATTCGCTGTGTGGTGTCAGTGCATGGGAGAGAGGGAATGAGCACTATCAGAGACAGTAGCATTGCTTTGGTTTTGTGACAGTGTCTCATGCACACCAGTGTGTTCTCAAACTTGCTATGTAGCTGGGATGACTGAAATCCTAATTCTTGTTCCAGCCTCCTCAGTTCTGGGGCTGCAGATGTGCACCACCACGTGTTTATGTGCTTCTGGGGTTGTGGGTGTGCACCACACATGTTTATGTGGTCCTGGGGCTGCGGGTGTGCACCACACACATTTATGTAGTTCTGGGGCTTGAACCTAAGGCTAAACACACGCTAGGTAAATGCTCTACCACCTGGGCCTCATCCCCAGCCTGTGGCAGAGCTTTTGTGATTTCAGCTCCCTGGGACCCCAAAGCAGCCAGGACTTACCTGCCGGGTCCTGGGTGTAGAGAAGAAGCCGCCTGAGTATGGAAGCCCCTGTTGGAGGCTGGCGTAGCGCAGCCAGTCCACTAGCCTTCTGCTGAGCAGGTTGGTCTGGTCTGTGGGGAAGGGAGGGTGTGCAGTGAGGGAAAGTTAAGTCTCAAGATTCTCAGGTGGTGCCGAATCTGCTCTAGAGAAAATGGGGCTCAACAGAACCCCATACCATGGGTATACCCCGGGAAGCCATGCATGATTCTCCGACAGCTCTAACCTCCTTCCACCACACCCTAGACTACAGTCACTGTGGGAAAGGAGCCAACAAAGCCTTTGGGGAAGAAGTGTCCAGTACCTTCTACGAGGGTGCCTGGGGCCAGGCCAATGATCTTGGACAGGACGGGGAGGAGGTGCCTGACGCTGGGCCCCTCGGGCTGCCGGTTCTCAAGGATCTTGAAGATGCGCTGGCTCAGAGAGATGATCTCTCCTTTTCTGTCTCCCTTCAAAGTAGGACAGGAAGCCGAGGACATGAGTGTCTCAGCAGCATAAGGAGCTGAGTTCGATCCCTGGAAACACACTACAGCTGCTCTTACATATGCTCAGAACATCACACTGGCAGGCCCGGCCCTGGAGTCCGACTGAGCTATCAACAGAGACCTGGAGTGTGTGCATGGGGGGCTGTACACACGAGACAGTCATTAGACCATCCAAGGGGATGGACTCCGGACAGAGTGGGTCTCTGCAGCACTGGATACCTTGAGGGACAAACCAGTTAGTTGTATTCCTGTGATCCCAGGACCACAAGAAATAGACGCCACCCCCTTCCTCCCCACCCCCAGTAGTGGCAATTGTGTTACCTGGGCTAAGAGTACAGAGGCCGCAAGACTGAGCTGCTGGGTGTTTTGGGTGTGATCACAGGACAGGGCCAGGTCATCAAAAGGTGACATCTCTCTCAAGATAGCGGCACAGAGGACCTGAAGCTGCTCAGGATTTGTGGGCAAACAGAGGGTGTTCTGCAACAGGTCCATACACATCTTCTCCAGCCTGGAGGGCGAGACCCCAGGAGATGACATGTTAGGCCTGTGGCACATACACGGACACCCCAGGGAAGACCGCTGGGACCTGTCTGCTGGATGTACAGGGTTTGCCCAGCAGTGCTCTCCACTCACCGTCGGGGATACTTGGTGGCTGAGACGATGAGGAAGAGCCTCTGCACGGCATCCACGGCGGCTGGCCCTGGGGGTTCCTGCAGCAGCTTAGTGACCCGGGTGCAGAACCGCTGCAGCTCCTCATCCTGTATCTCCCTAAGGAAAGAAGGAAGGGGACCACGGTGCTGCCCTGAGCTACAGGCATGTCCCCCACTGGGGGACTATCCCTAACCAGCACAGAGAAAGCAAGCAGCAGCCATCCAGGCTCACAGGTGTGCACAACCAAACCCCGCTTTCCCTGGCCCCTGCCTTTATTGGCAGTGATGGAGTTTGAAGCCAGGGCCCTACATGTAATAAGAGAGCAGCCACCCTACCTCTGAGGGCTACTGCTAGCACTCCCAAGTTGTCCTTCAAACATGCTTTAGTGAGCCTCCCACTTCTGAGAAGGGGACGTAAAAGCTTCTATATTGAAGTGCAAAGATTACAGCAGAGTGTAAGATGAGCCCAATATGTCACTGGCTTCAATCGAATATGCTGAGACCAAACTAAGTATCAGAGCAGAACTCAGTTTCCCAGCTTCTCTTCCAAGTTTCACAGCAAGGAAAAGAGGGCTGGGACTGCAACTCGGCAGAAGGGCGCTTGCCTAGATGAGTGCAGCCCTGGATTCCATCCCCAGCACCACAAAATAAAGGCCCACAATGAAGGAACGATGTGTACGATGGCACACACCTTTAATCCCAGCACTTGGAAGGCAGAGTCAAGTGGATCTCTCTTGCATTTGAGGTCAGTTTGGTCTACAAAGCAAGTTCCTGGGCCACACAGTGAGGCTCTGTCTCAACTATTCCCTAACACACACACACACAAATCTGTATGAGGGGCCTGTGGGTGCTAAGGAGGGCTCCCCCAACATCCTAAACCATGGCTGACAGCCCTACTGTGGTCTCTAGATGGGGCTGACAGTTTGTATGCTGCCCAATTTTGGACCTGTCTGTCAAGGGCTTGAATTTGGTTCCTGGGAAACAGAAAGAAAACAGCCTCCTCTCGGCAGTTACTGAATGTCCTACGGCTGTAGGATGACCTCCAGTAGCCTTCCCACCACCCTAGCCTACTTGGTTTTTCCATGATCCACTCAGTCACACTAAGGTACCTATAGAAGAGACTGAGTGAGGAAGGGGAGCCACGAACTGGCCCAAGGTTGTGCCTAACGACAGGATGAAATGACCAGAAGAGAGATACCCTGCATCGAGTGGGTACAGCTTCAGCACAAGCTTTAAAACACTGACCCAATTCTCCCACAGCTCTGCCACTGCTCCTGGGGATTCCTCCCAAGACAAAAAGAATTTCAATGAGTCGCTTTGCCTTTCATCACCCGTCCCAGGACTCTGAGCAGAATCTGAGTGGGAAACGTTATTTTTGTGCTGGCACGAGGAGGCCACACGCTGACCAACACTTAAGTCCCCATGTAACAAACACTCTGCTTAAAACGGAAACTATCCCATCTACTGAAGGAGGGCGGTGGGCCTGTAGGCGGATGGTGTGGCTCGGTCACCGCTTAGTCCTAATGGATCTTAGAGAATTATCTTGGGAGTTTTTTTGGTTTTGCTTTTTTTTTTTTAAATTTGTTACATTTATTTATTTATGTGCAGCTGGGGGTGCTAGAGTGGAGATCAGAAGACAACTTGAAGGAATTGATTTTCTCCTTCCTCCACGTGGATTCCCGGGGTCGAGCCAAGGCTGTCAGGCTTGGCTGCAAGGGCGTTTATCCATTGAGCCCTCTGAGTTCTGTCCTGTTCGCAGGCTCCAAACTTTAATGCTTGTTCAGGCTCTTGTTCCCTGGGATTCCAGAGACCTTATCCATCCTAATCTTTCCTCACAAGTGGCCCAGTTCAGAGTCCAGATTTGTCCCTTTGCTTTTTAAGTTTACCAAATGCATCAGGTCTGGGTTTCTGATACTCATTTCCTCCGTTTGATCGAGTGCCATCAAATCTTGGACCGGCTAGTTGGGAAGGATGGCGTAACCTAGACGCTCAATGCAGGTCCAGCGTAGCCTGGCACCAGACACGATGGGGAGAACTTCTTAGTTGGGTCGTGCACCTCACACTTCACGCAGGCCGTCCCGGGCACCACACGGGGACCCGAGCCGCGCAGCGGAACCACCGCCTCCCTGCTCCTCCCTGGCTTTGTCTCATGTCCCGTGTCCCCGGCCCCAGATTCGCAGACCTGGCCTGGTGCAGCAGACTCTCCGCGCCCGCCGAGAACATCCTGCTCGCAGCTCGGAGGCCACCCCCCGACCAAAGCGTTGTCGGGGACTTCCGAGTCGCGTCACATGATGGGTCATGTGACCAAACTGCGTGCCTCTGCTTCTCTACCCCTCCCTCGCCCCGGCTGCGTCACGTGGGAGAACCTGGAGCGCGAGCGGCCGACTTCCGGTGCCACATCACGTGGGAGGACCCTGCTAGCGAAAAACAGACTTCCGTTACGCGTCAGGTGGGCGGGGCGAAGGCCACGGGCCTATGAGTTACAGTGCGGAAGCCAGTTCTGGGCCAGCTCCGGGGTATCTGTGCACGTCAGCGTCAGCCACGGAACCCTACAACAGTGTTTCTTGGAGCCCAGGGCTCTTGGCCCCGGAAGAGCTCCTTTTGATCCCGGAACTGCTAGTGGTAGGTTCGGGACCTGGAAAGAAGACTAGGCCTGCCTAGAATCCCCCAGTGAGGGGCTGGGGGCGTGACTTGGTGGTAGAGCACTTTCTGGCCTGTGTGCCAGGGGTTCATCATTTTCCCTCTACACATGCATGCACACCCAGTAAACATTACCATGGATAATATTTGACCTGCTTCTTAAAATCTGTAGCGGGTTATTTGAAAATCTCGTTAGTGGAAAGTAGTTGAAGTAAAAAATAGTATATACATATATATTAGGGCTGGAGAAATGGCTCAGTCAGTATATTGCTTGCTATGTAAACATGAGGACTACAGCTTGAGTTCCCAACATCACATTAAAAATATCTAGGTACTTAACATACACAAGCATACACACACGCACTGTAAGTCACTCGTGTGACAGACACATTTTTTATGACTTCTGTCAGAGGCACTCTGCTACAAAAACACCCAAAGTCTTGCTAGCCTGGGGTTCTGGGGTCAGGAGGCTTTGGCATCTCGCACTCATTTGTGTTGGGAGGTAGGTGCCTGCTTCACGTGCAGACAAAGGAAGCTGATGGTAGACAGAGGCGCTGTCATGGTGGGAACTTGGACCCATGTCTGTCTGGCTCTTGCCAGTGCCTAGTGCCTATGACCTAGAATAAGCAAGGTGTCAGAGAGAAATGGGCAGGAGCGGAGGCGGCTCAGTCGGTGAAGTGCATTCCTTGCGAGCATGAGAACCTAGCTCCATCCCTAGGTGGCCATGGGAAAGTAAAGCACACACTTGTGATCCTGGCACTGGGGAAGTGGAGGCAGGAGGAGCTCGGGATTTTGCTGGCTGGCCAGCTAGTTTACTTGGCAAGTCCCAGGCCAATGAGAGACCCTGTCTCAAAAGACTGCCATACAAGCCTGACAAGCTGAGTGTGGATCCCCAGAACCCACAGAAAAGCTCCAGAATAACTTTTTTACGCTATGTAAATAGTGTAATTTGTGATCCCAACACACCCACAGCAGATAGGAGGAGGAGGCAGGAGAAGCTCCTGGAACTAGAGGATCTGCTAGCCCGGTTTATGCAACGGCAAAGAGATTCTGTCTCAAACAAGGTGGAAAGGTGAGGGCAGGCACCTGAAGGTTGTTGTCTAACTTGCCCACATGTCTCCTGCATGCCTGTGCCTCCACATATGAACACACACATCACATGAGGAACAAGAGCTGAGGTTGTCCTCTGTTTCCATACAAATGCACACACACACACACAGAAAGTCACACCCAGGAACATGTACACAGAAGAGAGAAATGTAGTTTCTCACCTGACTGAGGGTCAGATGTCTGCTAGGGCCACAGAGGCAGCCATGGTGTGGAGGTTTGACTGAGAATGGCTCCCACTGACTCGTATACTTGAATGCTTTGCCCCATGGTAGAACTGTGTGGGAAGGATTAGGAGGTGTGGCCTTGCTGGAAGAGGTGTGTCACTGGGGTCAGGCTTTGCGGTTTCAAGAGCCCACAGCATTTCCTAGTTAGCTCTCGTTGTCTTGTCGCTGTTTCAAGGTGTGAACTCTCAGCTGCTGCTCCAACATCATTCCTGCCTGTCAGCTGCTGTGCTCCCTGCGTGGTCAGGCTCTCACCCGCTGAACTGTGAGCCACAGATTAAATGCCTTTTTGTTTTCCATAAGTTTCCTTTGTCATGGTGTCTCCTCACAGCAAAAGACCGAGTAACAAGACACACAGACCACCTGCAGACACATCCTGGCCCAGCTGTGGGCCTGTGTCATGAGACAGGGAGACACGGGCTAGCGCCTCCCTTGCCATCTGTGAACCATCTCCATATCCTTGGAGCTCAGATGACAGACACCTACCTGCAGTACTCACCCTGGACTGGACACCCAGGGATCCCTGGAGGAAGCAGAGTCCCCGGCCGGGGTCACGTCTCTCACTCCAGGTGCAGGGTATGTATCCAGGCCATCTGTTGGTCAGTCTGCCCTCCACAGTCACTCACTCAGGGACCACTCACACCCTTGGGTACATATCTTTAATATATAATTTTTATTTCTGGTTATAGAAACAAATGCTAAGAGGAGAATACAGAGCTTCCCCACCCACATACAACAATCGAATAGATAAAAGAACAGTTCAAATGGATGAAAAAGGAAGTAGAAATTTTCCACTGTTATAGCTTTAAAACATTAACATCTAATAATAGTTAGAAATCACATTCAGGTGTCAAACTTTTTTTTTTTTTAAAAAAAGGATGGTTCTGTTATAAAAAATACTGTATCCCATCTGAAATGACCGCCCAGGTGGTGCTGCTTGGGATGTGGGTTCACAGGTCTTTCTGATCCCAACCGTTACCCCTGCCTCCTGAGCGAGACCTTCAACCACTGAGGTGGGGCACGTCTCATCTTTGGAACCAGGATTCCCAGCACATAGGATACCACTGCTTTTAAAGCACTATGTGTTAAACATATCATGGAAACATTTTAGACAGCCACTATAAAAAAAAAAAAAACCACACATTGCGCACGCGCACACACACACACACACACACATACATACTCCCTGAACACCCTCCCCCCAATTACTTTTACAGAATTATCATTCAGTTAAGAAAAAGAACGACCTCACTATTGGCTTTAGCCCCTCCCTCACACGTGCACAGCTGCTGTCCCCCTCTCCAGGACACAGCAGAATTCAAGGGGAGACCTGGAAGACAGTTTGAGTCTCTCCTTCCTGTCCCCACCACCTTTGCCCAGCCCAGGAATCCCAGATACCTCCAGGAAGGATGTTATGAAGGGAAGAAGGGCCAAAATTAAAATGTTAGATTTTTTTTTAAATTCTCAACTTTACCAATTAAAAATAAAAATTCTAGACCAGCCAATTCAGACTCAAGAAGCCAGGGTGTCATTTGGATACATACAGGACAGAGAACATGGATACTTAGTGGATCATGGGGCTCGCTCTAGCGGGGTCAGTATAGCCCTAGGGGCAGTCTGAGGTTCCTGCCAGTGGCAAGTGCGCCAAATGCAGGGGCATGGACCAAGCCTGGCCCCTGGCCACCCTCCAGCCTCTCCTCGGCTCCTGCGACCCAGGTTCCTCCACGCCACCCCTTCACCTTGTGAGTAGTCAAAGGAGCAAGGATTCAGAGGTAAGCAGCAAGCTATTTCACTCCTTCAACTCTCATGAGGTGGGGGTTGGCCTGGGGGTCCTAGGAAGCCTGTGTTTGGTGGTTGAACCCAAGAACAGAAACACACACACCACTTCATGGTGAGTGAAGCCCTCCAAGTGAAGTTTCTTCCTGGAGAAAGAGACGTCCATGCTTAAGGGATCTGTTCTCTTTACCATGGCCTGCACTAGCTGTGAGGTTAAAATGGAGGTGAGGCAGCCCTCGGCTTCCAGTCCTGCCAGCTCATCTCCGCCTAGCTCCTGCCATGCTGCCCTCTAGTTGGACACTTCCTCTCCCCAAGAAGTTCAGAGGACCCTCTGTCCTGCCTCACGCTGGTGGCACCTCTGAACAAGGCATGTAGTTGGCTTCATCTGTGGGACAGCCCTGCCAGGGTGTTTTGCCCTGACCACCTGGAGAGTAGTTCTAAACTGTTCCCTGCAGCAGCAGAGCTAAAGCCTGCCAGAAAGAAGCTCAGAGCAGCAGAGAAGAGGAATGGAGGAACAGATGGGAGCAGCAGCCAGGACCACTCAAGTAGCTTTTGTTTCTTTTTTAAAACACAAGTAGAGGGCGGTGGTGGCGCACGCCTTTAATACCAGCACTCAGGAGGCAGAGGCAGGCGGATCTCTGTGAGTTCGAGGCCAGCCTGGTCTACAAGAGCTAGTTCTAGGACAGGCTCCAAAGCTACAGAGAAACCCTGTCTCAAACACACACACACACAAAGGTAGAAAACTATTTCCCTAAACAAAGTCAGTGAAATGTGAAATGGGTCTGTGTTTTATTTTGAAGGAAATGCCTGAGGTTGGTTCACAGAACTCCACTTGCCAAGCAGGTGTGACTCCAGGGTAGCGATGGGGAGGGCAGGAAGAAGGAAGTAGTAACCCAAGGATGACAGTGCCTTGGACAGCCCCAAATTGTTCAAACCACAGACCGTGGGAAGAGGGTGTTAGTGCTAGTCTGTGGGCATCTAGGCCACACCCTGCTGTGTCACCAATGCAGCAGCCTTTGGTACAAAAAAAAAACAAAAAACAAGGAGCACTAGGCCATGGTGGCACTTCATAAAGCACTTCAGGAAGCTGAGACAAGGATTACAAGTTCAAGGCCAGCCTAGGCAGCTTCATGAGACCCTGTCTCAAGTTTAAAAATCAAAAGGGCTGTGAGCTGGCTCAGTGGTAGAACAGCCCTTTCCTAGGGGCTTACCTAGCGTGTGCGAGGCCCTGAGTTTACTTTCCAGCACCGAAACAAACAAAACAAAAACCCAGAACTCAACAAGCAGGTGATGCAAAAGCCACCCTGAATTCAAGGCCTGGAGCAGGGGACTCACAAGATGAAAGGGAACATTCAGTTGGGAGCAGGACTGAAGTGGCAGGTGGAAATCAGGAGGCCCTGGCCTTGTCTGTTCCCAGCTCTCACCTGCCTTCTCCAAGTCAAAGTGCGTGTTGGAGGCCCTGCTCTGGAGGGAAGCTGGGGTCAGCAGGGGTCATCTTTGGAACAACTTGACTTATCCTTTGTAATATTGCTTCTAAGCAGAGGTATTCTGAGAGACTGGAGGTGAGGTGCTAGAGACGACTGCCCTGTCAACCTTGAGCCAGAACAAGAGGCTACCCTGTCGTCATTGTGGTGACTTTACCACTAGTGATCGGGACATGATGCTCCCACACAGGTATCTTTCCCCAGAACAGAGAGATTCACTCACTTTCTGACTTACACTAGAGCAAGCACTGAGCTATTCAGATGGACAGGAAGGGGCTTGGTCAGCAAAGTGGGGGGGGGTGCACCCCAGAGTGGGCACCATTACGTGGTGCAATATGGAATTGGAGGGTTTTGAGGAAAAGCAGGAAATCCCATCCCACCACCACTTCTCCATGGGAAAGGTTTCTTCCTTGCATTTAACTAAGTCTTTGACCATGGCCCAAAGGGGAAGACACTGACCCCATCACCCGGCTGTGCCCATTTCCAGCTCTCCCAGATTATTGTGAAAGGCCTTTCCCCTTTAAGGGGAAAGATGGGTGACATCTATTATTTCAGATCCTGCAAGTCTGGTGTGGGGCAGGAGGCAGAGGCGGGAGATCTCTAGATTATAAAGATATAGAAAGCAGGGGAAGGGTTCATGGGCTTCCTCATGGACAGTGAGTCTGAGTCAGATACCCCGCCTTGCACAAAGGCAAGGCTCCAGGAGCTGTTGACAGACATGTTTATCATGCCCTGGATGCCAAGCTGAGGTAGGGGAGGAGACAGAAAAGGCAAGAAGGAGGGAGGGATAGGAATAGAAGGGGGAAGATAAGGGGTGGGAGGAAGGGAAAGAGAAAGAGGAGGAAGGAGGAAAGACAGGCAGGGGAGAAGGAACAGAGTGAGCGAGCAGGCAGGCAAGCTCTCAGGCAGGGTCTCTTCGCTTCCAGTCACCATGGTGACATCCTTTGCTTGCAGCATCTGTGAATCTGGCGAGTCCCAGATATGAGGCAGAAGACAGAGTGGACATGCGGACAGTCAGACACCTGATCTGCCAGGGAACACTCACCAAAACAAGGCAAGCTCAGATAAAGCTGGGCCAGAGACAGGAGCCCCTGTGGGCCCTGAGGACCAGGTCACCAGGCTTCACATCTGTGCCTGAACAATTCTCCGACCCTGGGGCTTTGTGGGGTTCTCCAGGGTTGCCAGCCATGGTCTATACAGTGGATGGTCATGGCCCCTAACCCATGCTCTGGTTTCCATAGATAGCTTCCCAGAACTCACGGGAGCAAGTTCCAGATGGCTGTGGATTCTTGCTCCGAGCACTGGCTACTCTGGGTTAATGGCTGTGGGCAAAAGCTGGCACAAGCCAGGTGCTACCTGGTAGATAACCAAATCCACTTCCAGAGCAATGACACCAGGCTAGCCTCCTCCTTTCTAGCTCAGGCTGCCCAAGCAGGGGCATAGGACCCTTTGACATAAGGTTATGTAGGACATCGGGACAGTGTGTGCTCCACTCTCTCCCTCCACATCCTTCCACACCTGTGTTAATGGGGAGAGGATTCGCTACAGAGGATGGAGACCATGATGTTTCAGTAGCCAAGAGAGCAAACTAGTCAGGGCCATACTGAGACCTGATGACAGATATGACAGATGGTAACCCACAGTTCCATGCAGGGGCTGTACACAGTGCCTACCATGACAATCCACAAATGATCTTAATCTGCCTTGCAGCGTGACCATGCACACACAGCCTTGGAGTAAACGGTAATAGAGGGGAAGATCGGCAGGTGGCACTAACGTCCCTTGTGGGCTCAGCTCATTCCTACTTCCCTAGCCACATGCTCACACCAGGCACACAGAACAAGTTCATGCCAGGCACAGAGAAATGTAGGATGGTGCCCTTTGCCTACTCCAAGGGGCAGCTCCACCTGGAAAACCCACCCCCAGTCACTACCACCCCAGCCCCACCTCTCGGAAACCTCCCAGGCAACAGACAGGCCTACAAAACACAGCTTACTTCCAGCTTGAAGTTTAGTACTACAGAAATGACTGGGGAGCTTGGAAGATAGCTCAAGAGGGCTAGGCAGGTGCTCTGCATTGGTCCTTGGTGTGTGTGGGGGACTGGTGTCTTCAATAGTGGCAGCCATAGGGTGGAGCCTGAATTCATCCAACCTGATCACCTGCTCTCCGTAGCCTCCAGGTCACTGACTGGCATCCCTTCCAGCAAAGGCAGCTTGTACAGCGCTCACGGGGCTCTCTCTGCTCTTCTGACTGGGCCCAGGCAGAGGAAGAGGCCAAGGACAGGCTGACTTCTGAGGCTCTCTGTCCACGTTGTTGCTGTTGCTTATGGCCTACCATCCAGAAGGACCAGCACCGAGCTCCTGGCTGCCCTGAAGTCCCGCCATGCAGCTGCTGCTACTGCTTCCGCAGAACCATCTCTCATCCCCAAACTGAGTGAAACATTCAGTGGCTCCTATTCCTGTGACTCGCTGTGTGCTGAAAGTGCTGCTGGTAGCTTGTGTAGGCATGCAAAGGGACTTTCTCTGGGGATCCAAGTCCTCGGCTGACCCCATACTTTGGTTCTTGCCACACTGTAATCAAACTTGGCACCAACTGCTGTCCAGAGAGGTAGTTTCCTTCCCAGTGGATAACAGCCAGGAACAGCCAGGGACACCCAGCTTCAGGTAGAAGAGAGGGTTTCTATTTGCAAACTGGACATGTCTTAGGGTGCTCAGGAAACTGGAATGTGTGAGGGGAAGGCAGTGTGAGTAGACCGTTGCACAGAGCCTCCAGCTGCCAGAAACAGGATGCATCCCCCGCTGTCTTCCACTGGCACAGACCAATATCCTCCCTGCTGAGCAAGGGGCTGACTGAGGTCCCCTGAAGCGGTCCAGCTTTTCCTGGATATCCATTGTAGCTTGCAGCTCTGGGCTAAGCCAGTACTGTGGGAATGGATGCCATGGGCACTGGCCCTGGGCTGATTTTCCATCAAAGCACTTTATAATATCAGTGTGGGGGCCGCTGATCCTTCTTGGAGTTATCGGGGAGAGCGGCATGTTCACCAAGGGCTGGTGTGGGTGAGTGCCTGCAGCTACTCAACTGGCTACCAAAGGGAACCCCAAAGATGTGAACCCTTCTGTGTGTCTCAGGTTTGAGATGAGCCCAAATTCCATGTTTAACTGTAAGAAATATTTTAGGGTCCAAAGCCAAAGCAGACCTCTTGACTCCAATTAATGCCGCAACCTATGTCACTTTTGGGACGAGGACTGCATCCCAGTCTGTGGCTGGGACGTTCTCGCCACCATTCTCTGTTCTCTAGTCTATTCCTGCTCAGTGACAAACAGGAAATCTGTGGGTCCCAAGGAGAGCAGCCTGGGTTTACACTGTACTTCTGTCCAGTTCTGGGACTCATTCTTCTTGAGGGTGCTGGCTGGGATCGGTTCTTGAGGAGCTGGGCTAGACCTTCTCCCACAAGAACTGGGGAGAGGTGATGGCATGAGGGAGGGGTAAATAAACACACAGAACCCCCAGATTCATACAATCAAGTTGTCTGAACGTGTTTATGTGTTTTGTTTCAAACCATGGGAGGACAGGAGATAAAAAGGAAACTGTCCAGGTGTGGTGGCCACCCTCATGGCACACGCGCTGCAGGCAGCTGTGAGCTTCTCTACTCCGTCCTCGAGTGCAGCAGCTGGCCACCTGGGCACCTGTGGCGTGAGTCCCACTCCACCTTCCTGCAGGTGACTTCACTCGCCGGTACCTGGGCCCTGGGGGCCAGTGGCTGCCATTGCTGTGGGCTGTGTGGTGGCTGTCCCACTGGGCTCCTCTACCCGGGACCTCTTGATCTCGGGCTCCCCGCTGGAAGAGGCAGATGTGGTAGTGGAGGCTGCTGGGGCTGATGTGGCATTAGTGGCCACCGAGACGGCTGCTGATGGTTCCTCAGACCCTACCTCACATACCCGGGTGATGACCACTGGCGTGGATGAACTCGCCTGGGCTGCCAGGAGCTGCAGGGGGCTGGTGAGGGCTGGTAGCAGGAAGAAGAGGTTACTTAAGGGTTACCACTAACTGGTTACAGCCAGTGCTGGCTCTGTCATTCCTCACACAGGTATCTTTTCCCTACTCATGGCAAGTCTGAATCGGACACCCCACACCAACTCAGGGCCCTTCTCACTTGCTGCTTCTGTCACCCTGAGGACATCCTTCCCTCGCCCTCTTGCCTCTCTATGATACCTAATTTTGATTATCACCTCAGTGGAATTCAGAAGTGCCACAGACTCCAACCTCTGGGCATGTCTGTGAGGGAGTGTCTAGATTGGGGTCATCAAGAGGGAAGATCTGTCCTGGAGGTGCTGACTCCATCCTATCTGGGCTCCAAGACTAAATAAAGTAGAAAGCAAGTCAAGGAGCGGCTTCCTCTCCCCTGGCTGCCTGACTGTGCCATGCCTTCCCAGCCAGGATGGGCTGTACCTTCAAAGGGAGCCAAAAGAAACCCTTCCGTCCTGAAGGTGCTTTTGGTATCAGGTGTTTTACAATAGCACACAAACCTAACCACCAGACTCTGGCACACAGAGGCCCAGCCCGTGGGGGCTGCCCGACCTCCTCCTCTGACATCCCCTGTCACCTTAGGTGACGTCTGGTTTCCTTGCTATGTGCTCTTGGATGGGAAAAGCAAGTGCCTGGCTGAGCTGCACTGCCCGCAGGCAGGTCCCTGGCACCTAGGGTCCGGGCTGAGGGCAGGCTGGGGCCTCACCATAAGCGTTGCCAGTTAAGTTATTCGTGGGCACAGCATGCTTTCCATTCTGAGTGACAGCCCGAACTGGAAGATGGTGCTGCCCGATAGTCACTGGTGTAGCTGGCTGTAGGATGGTGACTGTGTGTCCAGGGACTCCTGGGGCCATCTGGCTGGCGACCGTCTGGATAACTCGGCTGGCTGCAGGGATTGTGGCAAATGCTATGGTGGGTTTCTCTTCCAAACCTGTAGGGCAGGCAGCCAGTGAGAACCACACATGGTCCCAGCCACCGAGTTCCACCAAGGCCTCAGCATGAGGTTGGCTGAGGGGCTGGGGAATGGGGTGCCATTGGGAGAAAGGGCTTCCCAAGCCCCTCCTTGGAGATATGTTTAAATTGCCAGGGCTTTAAAACATGCTGGTGTGGAGGTAGGAGGAGCAAGAGTTCAAAGTTATCCTTGGTTACACAGCGGTCAGTATTGGGCTCCACAAGACTGTCTCAAACACCAAATGTATTATTTGGATTGAAACAGATTGCTTTTAGGGATGTGACCTTCTCTTTCGCCAGGATGTCATCTCTAAGAATCTAATTATTATTACTTTGTCATTGCTAGTGACTAGGGAGTGAATCTAAGGCCATGGGCATGCTGGGTCTCTGCCAACAAGCTACATCCCCAGTCCCACTGCCACCAACCCCTCTTTATTTATTTATTTATTTATTTATTTTTAAGACAAAGTCTAGTTAGGTTACCCAGGCTGGCCTGGGGCTTGCCATGCCACTCGAGCAGGCCGCCACCTCCCCAGTAGCTGGGAAGACAGGTCTCTGCCACCAGGTTGAGCCTGTTTCCATAACGACAACCATAAAATACAAAGTTAATGTTGAAACTAAGTCCCCAGTGGGAAAAACGACTAAGAAATAATGCTTTCTAGAAAGTTCTGGGGCTGCCTTTCACAGACTGGGTGTACTGCCAACATATACCCCATAAGCCCCCTTGGATCATGTTTCTTTTCGAAGCAGGCAGGGGTGCACACCTGTAATCTCAGCACTGCTGGGCAAGGTGACAGTGAGTCTGAGGTCAGCCCAGCAAGGATACATACTGCAACACTGGCAAAATAATCAATAAATGGGGGCTGAGGAGATGGTCCAGTAGTTAAGCATACCCACAAAGTGGCTCACAACCATCAACTCCAGTTTGAGGGTATCTGATGCCCTCTTCTGGCCTCCTCAGGCACTGCACATATTGGTATAGCCACTGCAGACAAAACACCCATCCACACAAGATAATAATGAAAGCAGGGCTTTTAAACAAACAAGCAAACAAATAAGGTCTGTAACCTGAATGTCACCTTGAATGGAAACAAAAGTCAAGCAAACAGCATTGTGCCAACCAAGGAAGAAGTAAGTCTGCAGAGACAATCCACCCTGCCTTAGAAAGAAGCCCATCACCCAAGCCGCTTCCCTTTACTCACTGCCCCGCTCAGTGGGCTCTGAGCCTACAGCCCAGGCTCACACTGCCCAACAGTGACAGCTGTGCCAGGACCCTCCTACGGCCGGCCACATTACCTCTCGTCTCATTGCCCAGGTCCAACACGGCTGTGCCTGCTGTGTCGTGGGAGCCTCCGGCTGAGCCCTGGCTAGCGAGGATGTACCCGTTGGCTGAGTTGGCGGAGGTGGTTACCACCCTCACCATGGTGACGGTGGGGGCCTGCTGCACCACATGGATGGCGTGGCCTGAGGGCTGCTGTGAGGTCACTATGGAAGCTGGCATGTAGGCGACAGGCTTAGCCACTAAGTTGGAAGGTCGGGGAGGGACAGCCATAATCACCGGCTGGGCACTGACAGGGGAGCCTGTGGGATGACACAGGGGACAGTAATTTGTGTGGGTGCCATCCAGTCTGTCACATCCAGGAAGAGGATGAACCTATGTCTTACCTGGGGCACTCTGGGAATAGCGATACTCTGGAACAGAAGCTAACTTTGACCCTAGGTCGGGATCATGGGGAATGGGGGAACCCTCCCGAGACAGGCACTCTGGGGTCTGCAGGCCACTGGAACGAGGGGACATCAGTCCGGGGTGGGTGGGCGAAGCTGGAGCACTCCTGCAATGAAGAGAGGGGACACCAAGGGGCTGCATCAGAATAAAAGTGAAACAAACAAAAACGAATGCCTCCACCCCACACCTCTGTTAAACGATTCCTAAGATACATCCCATGTCCACCCCTACATCTAACTCAGTGATTCCTGGAATACAGCCCACTCCCACCCCTACCCAACAATTCCTCACACGTCTTTGCCCCCTACTTCCTGGAATCCACCCAATCTCATGTTTCTGCCCCACACTTCCAGGGGCTTCTCTCTTATGTCCCGAAGGTTTTCCCAGATCTAATGTTCCCTGTTGACAAAGACCCAGCATTGCTATTTCCATTCAATGGGGAACTGGGTGGGTAGGTGCTCCATTAAACAGGGCTGAAGGGTGGAGAATGGATTGCCTCCTAGCAACTGCACATCCTGTAGCACGCACTGCCTAAAGGGTCCTACCACCCTCCAGGAGCAGCTCATCCTATGTCAAAAGAAAAAGCTTGCATCCAGGTATGACAATGCAGTCCTGTTATCCTTGCTACTTGGAAGGCAGAGGCAGGAGAATCTTAAGCTCAAGGCCTGCCTGGGCTATAGAGTGAGCTTAAGGCCAGCCCTGACAACTTAGCAAGAACCTGACTCAAAATGAAAAGTGAAACAAACGGGGCTTGGGTGGGGCTCGGTGGTAGAGCACCTGCCTAGAATCCCCCAGTGAGGGGCTGGGGTGTGGCTCAGTGGTAGAGCCCCTGCCTAGAATCCCCCGGTGAGGGGCTGGGGTGTGGCTCAGTGGTAGAGCCCCTGCCTAGAATCCCCCAGTGAGGGGGCTGGGGTGTGGCTCAGCAGTAAAGCCCCAGCTAGCAGGATGAGGGCCTTGGTTGAATTTCCAGTACTACAAAAGCCCAAACTGTTATTGGATGAGCACACAACTGGTATCTAAGAACTACGAGAGACCAGTGCTGATGCAGGCATTCCTATCCCCGAGAAACCCTTCCTGGCTCACTGTGACATTGAGACAGAAGTGCTAGACTCTGCTTTCCTACAGATGTAGGGACTCCTGACACTTGCTGGTCACCTGACCTATGCTAAGAGTGACCACAGGCAGACTCCATAGCTATCCATACAAGTACAAGTTCCTATGAACCCCACATGGCCAGAGAGCTGTCCAAATGGCATTTACCTGTCAGACAAATGCAACGCCTAATGGAGCTGTTGATGGCGGAGAGTCTATCCATCTTTCCTTACTGCCAGCAGACAAGTTGTACTCCCAGTATAGCTCCATTCATGGTAGACAGAGGGATCTCAAGGTCCCCAAATCAGCAGGACCCCCAACCTTTGAACTGGTTGTGGTGGCTCAACCTCCTGCACACACTCCACAGTAGGCAGTAATCACCTCACTAGCTGTTCCAACCAGCACAGGGGTCTGAGAGCTGGGCTTGTGAGAGTGCATGCCTGAAAGCCCAGCAGGGCTATCCTGAGTTCAATCTGCCCACAAAGTGAGAGACCTTGTCTTGAAACTAAAAAGCAGCAAAGATAGAAGCTTAACGGTCTAAGAACCCAGAAAACAGCCCAAATTCTCAAACGCTAGGCCCCTCCCACTGCTGTGACGCAGGAAATCTAGATTCTCAGAAGAGTGTGACAGTGGTGGAAACTTACCGTGAGGACAGAGGTCCGAAGGGGGTGCGGAAGCAGGAGACGCCTCTCTGTCTCCGCTTTCGGAATGCTTGTTCCACGAGTTTGGCTTCAGAGGCAGGGTCTATTCGCCAAAAGGAGCCCTTCCCAGGCTCCTCCTGGGATCGAGGGACTTTGATAAAGTAACGGTTAAGAGAGAGGTTGTGTCGGATAGAGTTCTGTAGGAGACAGAGAGACACCTGTGGGTCACAGTCATCAGAGGACAGACCTTATAACAGACGCAGCAGGAACTGATGACAGGCATGTGGCTGCAGGTGAACACCCCTCCTGGGGAACAGAACAGGTGGGGCACAGGGTAGCTCCTCCTATGCAATCCACACAGTAAAATGCACCCGTTCTTTCGGAAGAAACACACAAGTGTGCAGGATCTCGTCGGGCATGGAGAACAGATGAGGATGACAGGGCTCAAAGCACATCCGGATCTCTGGGTGTGTGAGCTTATATCTGTCTTCTCAGTAAGTGGAAAGAATGTTGAGGCAGGAGAATCATGAGTTCAAGGTCAGCCTGGGCTACACATGTGAGCTCTTGACTCAGAGAAGCTCCTTGTGGGGTGGGGATTGTGGTTCAGTTGGTACAGTTGCCCCGCATGCAGGAAGCCCTGGACTCTGTCCTTGCAGCACCATGTAAACATCAGGAAGTGGAGGCAGAAGGAGCAGAAGTTCAAGGTCATTGCTGACTATAAACAAAGTTCAGAGCTAGCCTGGGCTACCTGAGACCTTGCCTCAAAAGAAAAGAAGCAACAACAACAACAAAAGATTCTTCTGGATAAGTTAGCTAATGGAAAGTGCTAATTACAGAGAAGAGAATAACGTGGCGTAATCTGTGCCCATTGCATTAATGAAGAGGTCTCACAGCCTCCAAGAAAGATAAAACGCACCAGACTCATGCATGCGGACGGCTGCACTAAGTGATGGGGGCGGTGGACTGCTAAAGTCACACGGGTTATAACGCTCATGAAGTACAGATGCCATCAGTACACAGGTGTCGGACTGGCTCAAGGCTGATCCCAGCATTCGGGAGGCTGAGCCAGGAGGACTGCCATATTTTCAAGGCTAGCCTGGGCTACAACATGAGACACTGTCTCAAAACAACTAAAAATAAAAAAGTTGTAAGTAGGCATAAAGGAAAAGTAGCAAAACCAGATCATTTTAGGCTTGGGACATGGCTCAGTGGTGTGTATGCCTAGCACGCATGAAGCCCTGGGTTTCATTCCTAGCACTGCACAAACGTGGCATGGTGGTACAGGACCGCAATCCCCAAACTTCAGGAACAGGAGGTCATCCTTGGCTGCATAAGCAGTTTGAGGCAACCTGAGCTACACGAGACCTTTTCACAGAAACAAAACAGCAACAGCTCTATAATGGCTCTGACACAGCACAGAGGCACCATGGTGCTGAGTGTCACCTGGGAAGACACCAGGCGTCTCTTCGTTGTTTGTTCATGTGAAGCACTGAGTTTGTATCTGAGTCTCCACACACAGCCCAGGCCCCCGGGGCCTCACCTGCCAGCCCTTGTCGGCAGTCCTGTAGTAGGGGTAATGTTTGGTGATGTGGGCGTAGATGCCGCTTAGTGTTAGCTGCCTGTCCTGTGCCGAGGAGATGGCCTGCACGATCAGCTGCGCATAGGAGTATGGAGGCTTCGACTCGTCCTGGAGGGAGGGTTCACAGGAGACAGGGTTACAGAGGGAAATGGGTTAGAATCTCTCCCAGTCAGGCCACCCACTCCTGACACTGATGACGCTGTCTGCACTGAGTCACACCCGGGAGCCCGCCTCATCCATCAGCTTGCACTAAACTCACAACATGGTGGGCTGCACCCGTTCCCAGCAATTGGAAGGCTGAGGCAGGATTGCCTCAGTTCTGAGGTTAGTCTGGATTATGGCTGAGATCTTATCTCAAAACTCTAAACAAGGACAACAAAAAGAACTCAGAACAATGCTCTTTGGCCAAGTGTGATGCGTACCTGTGGTCCTAGGACTTCTGAGTTTTAGGCCAGGCTCAGCTACATGAGTCTCTCAGAAAACAGAAAACAAAAAGCAAAACAAAGAGGGCCTAGAAAACTGGCTGAGTGCACAAAGTGCTGCCCATGCAACCATGAAGATCCAAGTTCTGATGCCCAGCACCTATGTAAAATGCCAGACGTGGTGTCACATGTGTAATCCCAGTGACTTCCCGATCGCCCGGTCTAGACTAAAAGGCGAGCGCCGTACTCAGTGAAAACAATGTGGAGAAGGGTGGAGAAAGACACGCGTGGGCCAGCACAGCTGCACGCCTATGTGTGTGCAGACAGACCCGGGAGAAATGGAACAGAAAAGAAACGCCAAGCCCACCTCACAGGAGGAAAAACAGGTTTTGAATCAAAACTCTGAAGCTCATATTCCCCAGCACACTGTCTGCTACCCAACGGAAAGGAACAAAGACACACGGTTACAACAGCAAAAAATGTGGCTGAGCCTGGGATGCAGGCTGGTCACTGCACCTACTCAGAACGTTGAGGTAGGAAGGTCATGAGTTCAAAACCAGCCTGGGTTACTTAGTGAGACTTTGTCCCAAACTAAAAAGTAAAAAGAGGGTAGCAAATTGCCCCTGGGTTCAATTCCCAGTACTGTCAAAAGAGGGTGGGTAGAAAAGAAGGAAAAAGGAGTCACTGTCTTAAAGGCTATCCTTAAACTCTGACACTGTCTCAGCAGCACTGGCTGCAACAAGTAGGAACTGGGTGGGTGACAGGCCTTCAGCTCACCACAAATGGTCACGTGCACCATTTGGGAAAGAGCACGGGTAGATCCTTCAATACAGCCATGTGCTGCACCCTGGAGTACCCCGTCTGAGCCACCCTCAGGACCCCTACTGCAAGGTCTTGGTCACTATGACAACATGTCGGAGGCTCAGACCTTCGGGCTGTCCCCGCCAGACGTGTCTGCTTGCTGTTCAGAGGCGGCCTTTGCTGCAAATTCCGCAGCCAGCTGAAGGTCTGATGTCACGTTCTGAACGAAGCGGTAACCGGATGACCCAGCTCCTCGAGGACTGGCGGGACAGGAGTTGGGGACGCTGAATAGAAGAGAAAACACACAGTTTGAGACTCTGGGAAGGAGGACTCTGGGAAGGAGACTCTTTCTGGACCACCATGGAGGATAGAGGGAGAGTATTACTTCTGCCTTACTGGTGACATCGCTGGGTGGGACCAGCTTCAGAAAAAATCAAGAAATACAACCAAGAACTCAAGAAATGACAAACACGCATCACTCTCTCCTCCAAGGTCAAGACAAAAGCTACAGGAAGCCAAGTCCCTAGGCTATGAGTTCCTAAGCAAGAAAGCAGTAGCTCTGATGGCTTCAGCAAAATCAAGCTGCTCCTCCACTCCAGGCTGTAAAGACGTGGCTAGTGCGGCCGTGACCACAAGATGGCGCCCTAAGAGCAGGCGTGGATGGTGAGTAACTCCACACAAGGACACTTAGCCACTGGAGGAGGTGGCAGGGGTCTGCTGGCAGACACGGGAGGAGGCACACAGAGTTCTCAGCTCTAAGTAATCAATCCCACTGTGACCTGCCACTGACGAAGCCAGCACTGCTGTGGCTGTGCAAGACAGAACCTGGCTGACCCCGCCTGGACCCCAGGACTGAGGTTGGCTGGCTGATAGTGAGCTAATGAATTAAGACAATCTCTGGAAGGCCATTGAGATGGCTCGGCACGCGCAGATACTGCCAAAGCAGACCACCTGAGTTCAACCCAGGACCACGCACGCACACACTCACGAATGAAGTGCTGGAGAGACAGACCGACAGTTACGAGCACACACTGCACTTGCAGAGGACTGCAGTTTGAATCCTACACCCCTGTCACATGGTTCACAGCCCCTCTCCCTCCAGGGGATCTGACACCCACTTCCGGTTTATGTGGACACCTTCACTCACATGCACCAGTCCCACCCCACAAGATTTTTAAAATAAATACTTTAAAAAGTAATAATAATAAGACAAGCTTTGGTTCTCTAACCAAAGTCTTGGGGGTAAAAATTATTTCACTTTAAAAACAAAGCAGCGAGAGGGCTCAGTGGGTAAAGGCTCCTGCCTCCTCAGCCCCATGGTCTTAGTTTGATCCCTAGAACTCACACGGTCTAAGAGAACTGACTCCCACAAGCTGTCCTCGCTCCACATCTGCACCATGGGACGCATATGCTCATCACACACACACACACACACACACACACACACACACACACACCAAATAACTACAATGAAATGTAAAAGTTAAAAAACCCTTCTAACGGAAAAGTAATCAAACACGGAAGAAGGGGTCCCTGCTGTCCCTGCAGAAAACCGGCGGCTTCAGGACAGGCGGCAGGACGCCACTCTCTTCCACTGCCTGCTGCTCCTTTGGCTGTGGGAAACGCCCAGAAAGGACACTGTTCTCTAACATGCCTGTCCTCTCTCCCATCTACTGCCTCCACAGGGATGTCTCACCTGGGATACTGCCTCCACCTGCACAGACAGTGTCTTTTCAGGCCTGCGATGTGACCCCATGGGTGGCTGTTGGTCCATCTCCCTCTTTCTGGGACCTACTCAGGACTGAGCAAGGGACCAGCAAAAGCTTGCTCAGACATAGTAGGAGGATGAATTCCTTTTGAGGTCTCAGTCCCTCTGTAGGAAAAAGGGGCGCGCGCCACACATAACTCTTGAGACCTTTAGTTCAAGGAGTCTCTTCTCCTTTTGACTACCTCAAATTTTGGTAACTTCTGTGCTTGTATTCTTCTGGTAGGCATGCTGGCCTCCTCCCTCCCCATGTCCTTACAGCCCAGCTGAGGCCTTAATGCATAAAGTTCAGTCAGCAAACAAGTAAGTGAGACCCCGAAAGCAGGGAAGCAAAAAGAAACTTTCCCTGAGGCTCCTTTAGGAAAAGGGATGGTGGGACCCTCATTATGTAGCTCAGGTTGGTCTCAAACCATCCTCCTGCCTCATTTTTCTGAGTGCTAGAAATATAGGCAAAGGCCAATACATCTGGATTGGATTTAATTCTCTCTTTTTTCCTTTGAGATGGGGTCTCATTATGGCCCAGAAATTCCTTGAAGCCAAGTGTGAGGCTCCCTAGGCAAGCACACCACACTAGCCTGGATTTAATTCTGAAGCTAAAATACAAACCCAAGTACAGGGTGGGGAGGCTGAGAGACAAGTTTACTTCAACATCCATACACTCAAAAGCCAGCTTTCACTGGGTTAGGCATAGTGTGGCTTTCATCCCAGTTCTCAGGAGGCAGAGGCAGGCAGATTTCTGTGAGTGCAAGGCTGGCCTGGACTACAGAGTGAGTTCAAGGCCAGCAGAGCTACCTAGTGAAACCCCATCTCAAAAACAAAAACACAAAACCACCAAACAATCAAATAAATAAATAAATAAATAAATAAAAGTTTTAAAGACCAGGTTTCATACCAGACTTGGAGCAAAGGCATGGTCACAGGGAATGTGGCTTGGGTGAGAGCTGTCACCGGGGACTCGTCAAGTAGTAGATGCTGCTGCAGTGAATTTGGTACCCTGCCCTAAGCCCAGGCCCATTAATACCCTCAGAGTTTACCTGAATGACAGGATCGGGTCTCTCTGGCGACCATGGGGCTGGGAAGTCACCATGACACAGCACATCTCCTAGTGATAGGCCACGGACACCCAGCTTGGGTGGCAGTCACCACAGCACAGAACCTCTCCTAGCGACAGGCCACAGACACCCAGCTTGGGTGGAGGTGAGTGAAGAGAGCTCATCTCAGGAAACTGAACACCTAGTGTGAGGTCATGGAGGCTGCAGAGCGTCTGTTCTGTGTAGCACTCCCTATCAGTTCTGAGGGCACAGGGTTATGGCGAGCATGAAGAGCAAGGCCATGCTGTCTGTTCCTGAGGAAGCATCTTGTACGATATGGAAGGAAATGCACACCTTTGCTCCCAAGTGCAAAATCTGGAGTCACAGTCTTCATGGCCCACAGAATGGCTTAGATGAACACAAGGTTTATCAAAGCCATCTTAGAAACACGAGTCAAGGGCCAGACTTGATGGTTGCAGACCTGTCATCCCAGCTACCAGGGAAGCTGAGGCAGGAGGATCTCAGCTCAAGGTGGGTCTGGGGTACAGAATGAGATCAAGTTCAGCCTGGTAAACTTAGTGAGACATAGTACCAAAATAAAAAATCAAAACATGGTTAGAATATAGCTCAGTGAGGGGCTGGGGTGTGGCTCAGTGGTAGAGCCCCTGCCTAGAATCCCCCAGTGAGGGGCTAGGTGTGGTTCAGTGGTAGAGCCCCTGCCTAGAATCTCCCAGTGAGGTGCTAGGTGTGGCTCAGTGGTAGAGCCCCTGCCTAGAATCCCCTAGTGAGGAGCTGGGGTGTGGCTCAGTGGTAGAGCACCTGCCTAGAATTCCCCCAGTGAGGGGCTTGGGTGTGGCTCAGTGGTAGAGTCCCTGCCTAGAGTCCCCCAGCGAGGGGCTGAGGTGTGGCTCAGTGATAGAGCACCTACCTAGAATTCCCCAGTGAGGGGCTGGGGCGTGGCTCAGTGGTAGAGTGCTTGTCTAGCTAATGTGAGATTCTGGACTACAGGTTCATTACACACCCCTCCCCAAGGAAGCAACCTCTGCTTTTTGAGCCTGGCTCATGCCAGTGACCTGTGTAGTCACAGCCGGGTATGCAGCAAATGCTTCAGTCTTGCAGCCTGTGACGGCAGTTTCCCAGCAGCACCTCCAGGGCACATGTGCTTCTGATCAGTCATCTATTCCCGACCTCAGAGCAGCCTGTTTCTCAATACACAACACTGAACCATCCTTGTAAGTGGGCTGCAAGGGGAGAGCTGCGCCCAAGACAGGGTCACCTGCTGCTGGTGCTCACGTCTCAGAGCTGTAAAACGACCACTGGGAGTCAGGTGAATCCCAGACCCTGAGCAGGGCTTCCTAGTCTCTGAGAACACAAAGTGTGAGGGTTCTCAACTTTCCTAGAGCTGTGACCCTTTAGTACAGTTCCTCATGCTGTGGTGACCCCAACCTTAACGCTATTTCATTGTCACGTCATAACTAACTTTGCTACTGTTATGAATCATAATGTATGTATCTGATATGCAGGATATCTGATAGATTCCTGTGGTATGGTTGTTCGATCCCCAAAGGGGTCCGAACACAGGCTGAGAACCACTGACACAGAGGGACTTGGGAAAGTCACCTAGGAAAGAGAAATGTATACCAGTGTTCTGCCGGTGTTTGGAATGCCAAAGCAAGAGGGTAGAGAGCTGCAGACCACCCGCCTATTCCAGCAAGATTCTACCTCTAAAACCAACACAAACAAACAAAACCAAAACAAATCTGCCCCTAAAATCTGTCCTCACAGAAACAAAGTAAAGCCAAGAATGAATCTGCAAGGCTATCCTGCTCCCGTGATGAGACAACTCAGGGGAATTTCAAGACAGCGGGATAAACACACACTTAGTGTTCAGATGGTGCCTTCTGCTCCCAGACAGGGCCAACCCCTCCCTTTGGGGACCCTGGGACTTGTTCCAAGACAAACTGACTGGCTCTACCTTGGAGGAGCAGACCCCTCACTTGGTGGATGGGGTCTGAACTTGGGGACTGTCTCTACCTAATAAGTTGTCGGCCAGTGAGAGCCCCGTCTCAAACAAACCACAAACAGAAAATCAAGGACTGACCCAGAGGAGTGACCCCAAGTCCTTCTATGTCCACACATGAGGCACACAGTGGCCGGGGGTGGTGGTGTATACTTTGGAGCCAGTGAGAAAGCTGAAAGGCCCTGAGCGTCAATCAGCTCCTGGGGACTGGCCTGGCCCTGGCCTCTTCCAGCAGCAACCTTGATAATCTCATGCTGGCCCTGTGACAGCCTGGGCCACACCCTGGAGCTGGGCTCAGAAGTTGCTTCTCTTGACTACCCAGACATGCCAAGAAACTACACTGCCTGGTGCAGGCGCCCAGGACTCCCAGCAGGTGTGGGCAGCCTGTAGAGGCTGTCACTTTTCCTTATTTTATTTCTCTTTCTTTTCTTCCTCTTGCTTATCTGGGGGGTGAGGGAGAATGTTAAT